ATTTGTTTGATTGCAACCTTTTGTGTAATAAAAGCTGGTCAAAATACATGAAAAAGTATTTGTCCCTGTTTTTTATTTCATAATGATAATATTTAATGATTTTTCACCGCCGCACTGAAAATGTCCCAGATTTTCATCTCAGAAATCTGGTCACCTTAGTCTAATAATGAAGTTGCAAAAGACCATTAGAAAGCTTTCACTCGACACTTCTTCACTGTACGAGCATAGAAGAGTGTACTTTGGGCTGTTTTATGCTCATTCTGTTGTGTTTTGATGCATTTTGGTGAAAATATCAAGTTTTAAAGGTGCGCAGTCAAGGTCAGTCAGTCAAGGTGAACAAGGCCTTTGACTTTCTGTATTACAAGTCTGACTGTGGTCAGTTATGTATCAATACTTCATTCTAAATGTCTTACAGGAGTGTATTCATTCGTCCTGCCTGATTTTAGATGTGATAAGTGCATTTTTAGTGGAAACATGAGCAATTTGAGTGGAAATGCAGAATCTAAAAGATGCAGTTATCGCCTCCAAATCACTGAAAATATTTTTTTTTCCTTTCATAGATGACAAAACCAAAACATCCAGCGGTGTGCCCCATCTGCAGGAAAACAATTAAGTGGCTCTCCATGCACCTGGCCGAGTGGCACAGGCTTAAAAACCCTAATGAGAGGCAAATCCTCAATCAGTTGGCAACCGGAAGGATTCAAGTCGGTGGTGGACCGTGCCCCCTCCCAGTGTGCCAGCCATATGTTATATGGCCATATGTTATATGGCTGGAAGAACACTTGAGGGGGCACAAGGACCACACAGAAGCCTGCATTTCTAGGGAAATCAAAGCCCTCAAAAGGCGCACAGCCATCGCTAGGTTGAGGGCCCTGAAGGCCACGCAGCCGGACCCTCCAATGGTCTCCACCCTGGATATTTCAGATGACGAGGAGGAGGAGCCAGAGGAGGTTCCTGGCGGCTGTGCCAACTCGGCGTGCATTAACTTGAGGAAGATTGTGCGGGAGCTGGAGAGGGAAAACAGGGACCTCAGGGAGGCCAATGCCGCCCTCCGTGTAAGTGAATTTCAAATACATGGCAATTCCCAGCTGTGATCAAATGTAAGTCATCGTAAATTAACACTTTTTTCTCTTGCAATCAATTTCTCAGGACGCAGCAGGAGAGGGGACCAGCGGCACTCAGAGGCCAGCTCCCGCCCCTCGGACAGGACACAGCTCCAAGTCTGCAGAGGTTAGCATATATCAGTGTAGAGCATGTTTTGTTGATATGATTTTATTGTAGTCTGTAATACAATAACAGCAAGTGTTGTAACAACTTTTGATCTGAAACTTGTTCTCTATTTATCTTTTCACTGTATCCAGGTGATTGACAGCAGAAGCAGCAGAAGCAGCAGCAGCAGCAGCGATGAGGAGGAGGAGGAGGCTCCTCCTGTAGCTCCTTTGGTTAGATTATACTAGAATGAAATGTAATGTTTGATTTATTTTTCAATGCTTACACATTTAATGCAAACATGCCTTATCATTCTTTCTTCATGATCAGACCAGCAGCAAGGCTGCGGAGGAGGAGCAGAGGGAGGAGGACAGCGAGGAGGAGGAGGAGCAGAGGGAGGAGTAGAGTGAGAAGGAGAAGGAGCAGAGGAAGGTGGACAGCGAGGAGGAGGAGGAGCAGAGGGAGGAGGAGAGTTAGGAGGAGAAGGAGGAGGAGGAGGAGAAGGTAAGAAGAGAAAAATAATCAATTTAGTAGAATCTGTCAAGCAAAGTGTGTTACACACAATCATTTTGTGCAACATTCATGTATTTCACAAAAGTTTGTCTTATAATTTCTTCTGTTTCTTTTCCTGTGTTCTCTGACTCCTTCCTCTGCACCCAAGAAGAGCGCGTCTGCTCCTTCAGCTCCTTCCTCAAAGAAGGCCAGGAAGGCCAACCGCACCTGCTGCCTCAGGAGATGGAGGAGGAGGAGTCTGAAGTGAGTGAAATCTTTTTTTTTTTCAGTGTATCCCATCTTGTGGGCCCCCTAATCCTCTGCATTTAAGTCTTCTTTGAAAATCAATGCTATTTTCTATTTCCTGGTAATAATGACACACCATGTTGCAAATTTTCTGTTACAGGACGATGAGCAGGCCATGAAGCAGGGTCTGACAATGATTGTCGAAGACATCCTGCAGGGGACGGGGGAGGATGCAGACGAGGACGCCAGTGAAGAAGTGAGTGAGACTAGAGAGCAGAAATGTTGAATGAAGCTAAATTTTATTTACTAACAAAGCTAAACAACACATCTGACATTTCTCTCCTGTGCTTGGCTCTGTAATAGGAGGATGCACCAACCCCCATCCCAACAACCTCCAGCATATACAAGGTGCTGGGTCCCATCTTTGGAGGCCATTCAAAGGCCTCCAAGATGAGAAAGATTTCCTTCCCTCCCTCCATCGGTGAGAAACAACACATTTTCTATGTGTGCAGGTGTGTGGAGGGGTGTCATGCTATGTTCATCACATCTTTGTTCTATCTTTACAGAAACATACATGGAGGAATACAGTAATTTTGTGCTGGTCCCAGGGGGGGACGCCAAAGTTGCGGCAGAATGCTGTTACAAAGGCGTCCAGGGCCAAAGCCTTTATTAAATATATGATGGTGGGGTGGAAGGAAATACACTACTGGACGTGGGAATTTCTTGAAAACCTCCAGCTCATAAAAGCGTAAGTATCAAACTCTGAAAGCAGTAGCAGAGTAATCTAATTACAAGAGTTGTAGAAACTAAATCCAAACTGCTCTTTCCACAGATGCCCCTGTGTTCTGCGGAAACTCAATCTGGTGCCCTCCACCGTTGTCATGTATGTTGCCCACACATTGGCCTTTATTGATTATTTGGGCGACACTCCTCCCCACCACTGCCGGGTCCCCAAAAGAAAGATCTGCTTTATACAGAGGGAGCTTAAGAGAGTTCTGAAGATTGAAGGTCGGACGGTCCTGGGTCACCAGCAGAGCGTTAAACAGGCCAAACAGTTGCGGCTGGTGACCCGGCAGTCGCTCTCGACGTGCCAGTCCCTGGCGAGGGCCAAGATCCCCGAGCTCCTGGGTAAACTCATACTCATCCTTTGTTTCCTATTCAAAATCACTTCAATATTCTCATCTTTCTCTCTCTCTCACACACACACAGACACACACACACAGACACACACACACTGCTCTTGTCATTTACATTATTATTATGCAGATATAATGTAACCTCTCTATTATTTCTCTCTCATTTCAGACGACATGGAGAGAGGTTCGCCCCGAGACCCGAAGACCCGATACAGGTTCTTCGGGTACTTTGGGGCGTACATCTCCTCCATCTACGGCCATCGCACCGGAGTCCTCACCTCATTAAAAGTCAAAGAAGTGAAGGAGGCTCTCGGCGATGAGGAGGCGGGATACCTAATCAATGTAAGCTAAAAGTTAATGTAAAATATTGAGTTTTTCTTTTTTTTTTATGATGTTCAAGGTTTATATCATTTACTTTTCTTCTGTCTTCTGTGTCTGTGTGTCAGGTCCAGGATCACAAAACACTCAGAAAATTCGGAAAAGCCCAGGTCTACCTGGACAAGGTGGAGTTTGCCTGGTGTAAAAGATGGCTGGACCTGAAAAAGAGGACAATGGCCACCAACACCTACTTTTTCAGTTCGTTTGGGAAAGGACAGGCGAAAGATATGGTACAATATGTACGCATGGCCTGGGCGGAGATGGGCCTGCTCCTTGACATCAGGAGCGCTGTTGCCACCTATGTTAGTATTGGCCACATAAGTGAGTATCGCAATCTAGGTTTCCACCTAGTCATTGTAATCAGTAATGAGCCGATTTTGATCTTCTCTTTTTAGAACTTCGAGCAGAACTCGGCAGAGGCCAGGGCCAAGGTGGCAAAGTTCATGTGCCACAGCGTGGCAACACAGGAAAGATTTTATGCTTTGCATAAATCTGTGGCCCTGGCCGGGAAAATGCGGCAGCTGTTTGTCTGGGCGGCTGTGGATGACGGGAAGCCTCCCTTTGCTCCCTCCTCCTCAGCAGCAGCAGCAGCAGCAGCAGCAGCTCCCTCCTCCTCAGCAGCAGCAGCAGCAGCAGCAGCAGCAGCAGCAGCAGCAGCTCCCTCCTCCTCAGCAGCAGCTCCCTCCTCCTCAGCAGCAGCAGCAGCAGCAGCAGCAGCAGCTCCATCTCCCTCCTCCTCAGCAGCAGCAGCAGCAGCTCCAGCTCCCTCCTCCTCAGCAGCAGCTCCATCTCCCTCCTCCTCAGCAGCAGCAGCAGCAGCTCCAGCTCCCTCCTCCTCAGCAGCAGCTCCCTCCTCCTCAGCAGCAGCTCCCTCCATGTTGTCCGTAGGTCCAAACCTTGTAATCACAATCACAACACAGTGAATTTTTAATGATTCTGAGCCCTGTGCTTACCTGCTCTTGTTCTTACAGCCATCTCCCACGAAGAGTCTGACCGTAGTGATGGCGGACCGTACCAAAAAGAGGATGCTGAGCCCGGCCAAGGGCTCGCCTGCGAAGCTGAGTACCTCTTATACGAAAAAACTAAGGGCGCGGGTTGTGGTTAAAGACCTGTTCAAAAAGTAGTTGGATTTTTTAGTAGTTT